ACACACACACACACACACACAAAGAGCATGATACCCATGAGTAGACACGGCTGCTCTTTCACACTATTATTAATCCCACTTACACACACGCACCTCACTGCATACTCTTTCACACAGACAGACAGACACACACACACACACAGGGTAGACATAACAAAAGCATTGCCACATTTTGAAAACTCTCCACACTAAAAGCGTACAGATCCAACAAGAGCTCTTCTCTCCAGATAGAAGGTAATTCAGTCATCTCTCTTGACCTCCTGAGTGTACGTGCACACACTCTCTCTCTCAAACACACACACACACACAAAAAATGCTGCCAATTTCTCCTTAAGGCGAACATAGTAAATCACCCTGTGATCACCCCCTCTCCCCCCCACAACCATTTTCCTTTTTGTCAACTCCCCCCTGTATGGACCCCTCCTGAACCTCCTCCTGCCAGAGGCCTGTATGAGCAACAACCACTACTGCCTCAGGGCTCATATGAAGCCTGGCCGTCTGATGCAGTCTGATCCGTTCTTTTATTCTGTCTGCATGTGTTCGTTCCTCTGTCCTCCTCCTTTGTCTGTGTTTACTCGGTTTCTTTATCTGCTTTTGCTTCACTAAAATCCATCCTCTGCATCTATGATAAACATAGTGACATGATTAATGATTCCATTATTATTTACTGTCTTGTCTGTACAGTCTAGAAAAATCTGCCCATCAGCAGAAACCTCACTAATTAACACATATGTTGTTTATTTAATGTAAAAAAATAAAAAGACTTCAGAAGGAAAACCACAACATTCTGTTTCTTTAACTCAAGACAATAACAGAAAAAACCACTCATGACCTTGATACATGTGGAAGAACTGACCAGTCCTTGTAGAGACTGAGAAAAGTGGGTCATTTATACGAAACATACATTTGTTTCCGTGCAGAATAACTTGAGGTTGAAAACTTCAACTTGGTTTATTAATGATAATTTCACTTAGTCACTTGTAGAGGAGAATTTCTCCTGTCTGGATAAATGTATTTTAAACCAGAGGAAACAAAGTAGTAATGGTGGTAATAGTATTTTCCAGGCTGACCTGGTAAGGAGGGAGATAAGTAGGTCACATCTGGATGCATGTCACATATGTTATCATCTATATGTAACTTTAATGAACCTCCTATGTACATACATTATACCAGACGGCCATAGATGCACATGCAGGCAGACAGAATCAGGAAGTCAACCATGCAAAGAATCACACATGCAAGAACTTCTGTCATGTAACCACACAACACACAGTGAATGGCAGTGGATCTGGGTGAAAGTGGAGGAGGAGGAGGAAATGTAGGCCAATCCTTCTGCTCAACTGCTTCTATGCTGAAGAGTCCAGAACACCAACAGTCCTCTCACACACACACCCACACTCCACTGAAGAATCATTCTCAGTCCTCGGTGTGCCCATTTTCTATTTATTACCAACTCTTGCTGTCCACATAAGACAATGTTAAGGTGTGTGTGTGCGCTTGCATTCGTGACCTGGCAACTGTTGCCTGGCTACAGCGTGTTAAAATCACATAAACATCTCCCCAGAGGCAGGAATAAGTGCTTCTAATGGAAAGGAGGCTGCGGGGAAGGGGATACAGTCGAGAGAGGCAAGAGAACGGAGCGGGACAGAGGTGGTGCATTATTAAGCAGGTTTAGAAACAGTCACGAGTATGAGGGCAGCAGCTCCGTGAGAAAAATGACCCGTGCTGATTAGATTCATTCTTGGGGTATTAATGTGTGATACTGTTCTTAAAGCATAACCTTTCATAAAGCCACTGAATTTCATTATTCAGAATAAAACATCTTCAAGGGAACAGAAATTAGAATCTGCACAGACTTACCGGAACAATCACATCATCGTAGAAACTCCAGGCCAGCGCCCAGCGCATGGTCCGTCCCTGACAAAACTCAGTGTGCGTCACCTTCGGCACCTTAGCGACAAGAAAACACAAAGGGACCGAGAAAGTAACAGTGTGTTAGATGGATGCCCCAGACCATTTCAGAAAGTTTAATTACATGTCATGAGTGAAACATTTGAAATGCTCTTGCAAACTGAAGTAGGTATCTGTAGTCTTTCCCACAGCCAAACCCAGTGTGCTGAGATAAATTCTGACCAAGGCGTCGAATCGGTTCCATGTTGGACTTGCATGTATTACAAACTGCATGCGGCCAAAACAGTGCAGCAAATTTTAACAAAATGTAAAAATCGCGATTGGAGCAGGGCTTAGAGAGCATTAACATTATCAAAAATAATTAGTGCATAGTATTTTACCATATTGAAGACTTGTGAGACGTTGTGGAAACCCTGCAATATGTAGCTTGAAATAACCAAATCATTTTCATCACTTCACTCTTAAAATAAATCCTATAGCACCCAGTGACTCTTTGACCTCTGATAGTGTGAAAGCGACATTTTGTCACTGTGAGCTGATTCCACAGCTTGAATCAAGGGTGTGATAAAATATATCTATGATGTGACAAAACATGCATGTGCTGTGAAAACCCTCTTAACTTTAACAGTCTGAACTGCTGCAGTAAAAAGGTAGTTTTGATAAAACTCAAACTCTGATGTAGATTTTAATTGTTTAAAGGTCCAGTGTGTAAGATTTAGGTGACAGGGATCCATTGGCTGAGATTGAATGTAAAACAATCCTTGTGATGTTTTCACTAGTTTGTTTCTGATAAAGGCATTAGCATATTAACTGGGCCAGGTTTCCTTTTACACACTCCTCCCTGGATATCAGCCAAGGCTGCACTCCCTCTGATGAGCAGCGACAGCAGCTCTAAAACCTCTGGAGGAGGACAGAGGGATGGCAGGTGTGAGGAGACATCTCACCATCCATTTCTGCATTTTGAACATGTGAGGGTGTGACTGGCACAAGACCAGAGGTCTGCAGCAGTCAGAAAATCATGTGCTGGGCTATTAGTTAGGCTAATGACACTAATGCATGTTAGCTACAGAGCGCCACATGATTCAGTCATGCACTGCAAACAGAAATCAGCTTGTTCATGGCTCATTTGTGACACTGCTTAGGTGGCATATCAGAAAGAGCTGATCTGTTATCGCTTTCTGGATCTCTGCACAGCAACAACTGCCTGCTAGCATCGATGCTCAGTCCCAGAAGAGCATTGGTTTGAGATGTGAGGCAAAGATTATTTTAACAAGCTGTCATAAAGCCGTGCACAGAGCAGCGTGTTGCTGCAGGAACAGACAGATCGAAAAGCTGAAGCTGCTTTGTGAAACAGTGGATGCAGATGTGATTGTGTTTGTTTGTATTTGTTCTGGGTCTCACCCCTTGTTTCCTCAGCTCCTCTTTCAAAGGTGCCAGGCTGCACTTCTTCCCCAACATGCAGCTGTACCACCTGCAGAAAGAAGGATCCACATTAACCAGCTGTGTGACAGTGACGGGCCGGGGCGTGAACCACAGAGCAGAGATCAAACAAGCTGAGGTGGGCTTTAGGGAGCAGCACAAAGACAAAGAGCTGAGTGTGTTCAGCCCAAAGTGGAAGAAAAGATGGTTTGAAGTCGTCCCATGGTGGAGATCTGATCAATAAACTCTGTTGAGCAGTAAAGAGATGAGGTTAGTCTCGATCAGTGAGCAGCAGAGGAAGAGGGAGGGACAATAAACACATCAGAGTCAGTCTGAAACAAAGAGCGCTCCCATTACAAGAGATAATAATTCAATACAATCATCTGGTCTCTATTCAATGGCTGAAAGTGGAATATAAAAATCTAAAGCCTTTGCATATCTATTTAAAGATTAGGGTGCAACGTTCCACTGGTGAAATCTTTGTTTAGTTTAGTGTTTAGAACTTTGAGGGGAGCGATTGATTTATTTCACCTATTCAAACAGGTTCCTCTGACTTTTCAGCTGCCAAAATTTAGATGAAAGAAGCTCAGAGTGGATGAAAACATTGTTGAGTTGCCCTTAAACATCACAGTATAACGTTTTTAAAGTTCTTTTTATACATTATCGATTAATCAAGAAAAGCAGATGAAGCTAAATGAAAGTATCAGTAAATATCTGACCTTGCAACATAACAAATCTTCAAGAACATAATCTCCAAGTATCACAAAATAATTATGTATTTAAAGGTTAGGACATATTCACAACCACATTGTTCTGTAAATAGCTGTAGTCACACCCAACTCAACAACGCAACATGTTAAAAACTGTTTAAACTGGTGGCTGACAGAGGTTTGGAAGGTATGAAGATGCCCAGAGGGGTGAAGGGGTGGAGAGAGCAACATGTCATCATCTGAGGCCACTGAATGAAATATTGAACAGCTCTAATATTCACAGATGTTCCCCACTTCTCCACACAGTGGGGAAGAAAAACCCAGAAGAGCCCCCCGAAAAAACCCTCCTCCTCCAGACGGCTTTTTCTAACAGCCCAGAGTGTGCAGCTGCATCAGCATCCATATGCAATCTTTTCTCTCTCCAGACGTTTCTGAAGCAGACATGTGATTACCATCTTATTACCAGAGAGGATTCATTTTCATATCAATGCCTTGATAAATGTGGAGTGTTTCCCCATTTCTGGCTTTGCTCCTGGATATCTGGATGTGTGTAATACTGAGGTGTCGAGAAAGAAGAGTGAAAGAGGAGGAGGGCGCGGCGGTGGAGCGTCACAAAGGACCAATCGGACAAGCTGGCAGTGTTTCCATGGACACCTGGTGGCTCTGGTTTCCCAGCATGCTTTTAGGAGTAACAGCCAGCCATGGTTGGTTTGGCCTAACCCTAACCCTCAAAACTGTTAAATGAGGCTGCGTTCATTCTCACTTTATGTGTCCTCGCTACACGAGTGTAACACAGAGCCACACCAGAGCAAGCAGGTGTTAACATCAGCCCCTCAGGGCTGCTCCTCTTTTCATTTTGGGAACACAGGCATACGCACACACACACACACATGCACGCACACGCTCTAACTGTAGGAGGCCAAGCAGGTGTGGCATGTCTAATTAGTTTTAATAGCACCACTCTGCAGCTCCTGCTACCCCAGTCTCACTCCGCTGCCCCGGTGACAGCCCTGGTTAAGGGGGAGGGTAAAGTGACGGCCGCTGGAGACCCCCCCCCCCAACTTCCCCACCCAAACACAGCTGTTCCCTGTGGACTCTCAGAGACAGTGCAGGGTACAGCGTGTGCCAAACTCACTAGAGCTAGTGTGGCTGACAGCTCCATCAATGTGCAGCAACCTCTTCACTGGTTCTCTCAGTGGCCATTTATACCTCTCCCAGCCTCTCAGAGCACAGAGTAACGGCTCATTTGAATACATTGCTCTATGGTCCTAAATACTTGGAGTTTCCGTGGGACTAGATTTGGTGAATCTGGTTTTGATTTGGTTGCAGCTAAAGACAAACATCACGTGTGATTTAGGTTTCAATGTTGAAGGTCAAAGGCCTGCGCTCCTCACCGCAGGCGTTTCTTGAGCTGCAGACTGTCGTGAATGATCCTCTTGACAAACTCCAGCTCCCCGCCCTCCGCCATGATCTCCGTCACCCCGCCTGTGTTTACTGAACTGGGAGGAGGTCGGCGTGGGTTCCTGGAGTTTACCCCCTGGAGAGAGCAACAAGACAGAGAGAGATTAGGACAAAATCCTATTAGAGTCATTTACTACCGTGTATCGTCTTGGTGTTTACTCCGTGTTGTGTTTGAGCTTTTACTGTTAAAGAATGTGACCGAAGCAGCAGTTGGAGGTTGGAGGAAAACTAACCTTTGCTTCTAGCTGGTTTGCAAAGAAAGGAGGGTTGCACATGCAGAAGTCGTATATGATCTCTGTCTCTTCTTTCAAGGCATCCATCAGTAAAGTCTTCTGAGGAACTTTGACAACTGAGGAAAGTTTTTTAAAAAATTGAGCGAGACAAGCATTTGTTGGATGATTTTAGGTATTATGATCATTTTTGATTAAAAAAACAAAACAAAGTGAGACTTTAGGTTGTCCCACAAGTTTATTATCACAGAAAGCAAAGAGCAAATCTCTGAGATTTAAACAGAGAAACCAAAACATGTTTGACATGGATGCTCAGAGTGCATACCTCCGCCAAGGCTAACGCCCTTATCTCATGTATTGAAGTAGGCAAAATAAAATTCAGGATCCACCCCTTTATCTGGATCCACTCCAAAATGGTCATGCCCCACCCCTTACAAAAATTATATTATATAATAGTTTTTGTGTAATCCTCCTGAATTTCACACAGGCAGCAAAGAAAACACAAGATCCTTGGCGGAGGCATATAAACCACACTCAGTACTCAGTTTTTGTGCTTCCGTCTTTTTTGATCTGGTTCGACCAGGACCACACTCACCTTTAATGAGGTCAGACATCTTGTTCTGTTCCACATTTTTCGTAGCGTAGTCGAAACAGATGTCATCCACCTCTGTGGCGAGGAAATACCAGCCGTTCATTGTGGCTCCCAGTAAGGGGTAAATACAAGACGCCCCGGTGCCTGTGGAAATAAACACAACAGACACACACTTATGGCAGCGTGACAGTGATGTATTTAATCATGATGATGATGATGAACGGTTATGTCTCAGTGATCAGTATAAACATATTCTAAGATGCTATTTAAAGTAAATGACTGAAGGGAAGGCTGTGTCAGTGTGTGTGATCTTTGATTTTAAATCATTATCTTTAAATTAGTGGCCGCAGTGATCAATAAATGTCTCTGACAGGAGCTTTTATTGAATCATTCACATCTAAAGAACTAAAGCTTAATTCAGTCCAGAGGTGACATTAGTTAGTGAAGGTGATCCATCAGAGAGAAGACAGCTTCAGTCTGTGTACTGAAAGAGTCAGGGTCGCCAGAGGCTCTAATGAGAGAGGGACGCACACAAAGAAAGGCAATGCTTCCTATGAAAGACAGAACAGCAAACACACAGTGACATGTGGAGGGGGTTTGACTGGTATATGCTGGGAACACTGGGAGCAACTGGGCACATGTGAACCAGCTGGAAGCAACAGCTGACATTTGGTGTGTGGTTCAGAGCTGCTGCTACACACAAAGAACAGGAGCAGGAGTCCACAACTCAAATCTGGGACCATTCCCTGCAGTACACTCTCAATGTGTTTATTTCTTGGATTTCATTTTCTTTACACTGAATCTCAACAAAATTGACAACAACCATGAGCAACATGTATTGTTATCCTGGCATAGTTTACCTGAGGAGCTCAGACCTGAAATGCTTTTAGGTAGTCTCCCCAAACGTACCGCTGCCGAATGGCTTTTAATTGATTGTTTTTGGTTATTACTTTTGTTTCTTTTATCCTTTTCTTTTGTCATTACTTTTAAATGAAGTTGTATCATATCATTTTCTTTCAAATTTTTTTGTTTGTTGTCATTGTTGTTTTGTATTTTGGTTTTTATTTGCCCTCTTTGCACTTTGTAACAGCCATTTTAAAATGTGCTATATGACTAAAGCAATAATTCTTATTTATCTGAATGTTTATTTGAGTTGAGTTCCTGCGTGAGATCTTAATCTTGGAGAACAATAACTTGCTCTTGAAGATGAAACCAACAGTGATCAGACACAGTGTTTAAAGAGGTCCCAGGATTTACTAAGGACTAAGAAACCATCAGGTAAAACAGATCAGTTCTTTGGTTCTGCTGCACTGAATTTCATCCTTCTAAGTTGAACATTGTGATTTTAAAAGTTCAGTCAGCTGGACTCACTTGACGCGTCCTCACTACACGCTACTATAAGTAATATCTATCAAAAACACACAGTAAGACCACACATTTACAGCAATGACACAGACAGTGGTGGTGGTGGTACCGATGTCGATGCCCCTGCGTAGCTGCTTCTGGCCGTCGATGAGGTCCTCCACCCAGTGGATGTAGTTGAGTCGTAGGGGGACAGTGGGTATGAGGCGCTCCAGTGGGATCTCGATGGTCAAACCAAAATCCTCCTTCAGCAGAGTGCAGGTGAGCGCTCGCACCGCCTCCGGCTCTTTGAAATTCACACTGGAGGAGAAACAAACATGGCTGAATAAGTTCAGGGAATTATTTTAATGCACAGAGTCATTTGGATTTGATTAATCTCTCTCATCTAAAACATACCTGTTGGGTAAAAGAAAATTATTATTGTAATTTTAGCCATTTTATCTGTTATGATGACACTACACTGCCAAAAACTGAAATCAACACCGCATCTATAAAACCAACAGATCAACAAACAAAAGCAGACAGACGATTAGACAGGTTTCACACAGGACAACAATTTACCCAGACCACTTCATTTACAATCAACTGACCATCAGTATCACAATATTAAGGAAACCTTCAAATGTTGGGAACATCTGGTTCAGCACAATATTTTTTCCATTTCATTGATATACTTTTTTTTTTTTTATTAGTTTAGTTTGTCACTTTTAAGACTTTCTTTAAATTCTGAAGCAGCTTGTAAAATAACCTGTTTGAATATCATAGAGTAATATGGGATTATATAAAAAGGTATTTCAATGTACAACAGACACTATGAGTAATAGCTCTACTGTTTCCCCTTGTTTTCTCTGCCAATTAAGTTTGATCAAAATGATCCTGTTGCATATGATCGCAATTAATCAAACAGCTCTTAATACAGTACGCCAGCTCCCTGCACTGAAGCCTATTACTTCAAACCACTCACTCACACACACATCAATGAGGAGTTCACAATCCCCTGCTAATGACAAAAGAATTCATATTTTCTACACTAAGACGTGCCACTTTTTATTCCCAGTTCTGTGTCCCACTCACTCGCCACCCCCGTCTTCTCCTCTCGACATGTTTAATGATTTTGCCTGTCATAAGAGCAGGCACGAGTGCGGCAGACAAAACGAGTGGGTGTGATCGGTATAATTAAAGCTTGGATGAGCACTTTCACACCTTGGCAGATGTAATTAGACGCGTCCTGGTGATGGGAGAGTCTGGCACCACACGAGTTTGGTGTGAGCATATTCCAGTGGAAAAAAACCATTTACTGCTGGTTAGACAGAGCCACAACTCAGAGTTAAAACAGGCAACCCCAGATTTTTTCATTATTTTCACAGGGACACTGTTTCTTTTCACAAAATAATTTCTCACAAACAGATGAAATATTTTTCTCATTGTTCAGCTCATCCTCTGATACTACACAAAAGTGTGTCCCAGTTAATTTTTTCTTCTTTCCAGCTCTGTGTAATGACTAGAAAGACTCCAACAATTAAATTTAAGTGAGAGTTCGGGCTGAGAACCGTCCTTTGTCATAACAATACCAAGGGCAGCATCGCTTCAGGTACCAGTGAGATATGAAATTAAGCTTGTGATGTTACTGAGGCAGATTGTATATTTCCAGTTGGTCACATAGTTGCAAAAAATACTATGAGTAAAGAGCAATGTTGAAAAGTAATAGCAGGGCAACAAGGCGGAGTTAGAAAAGGTATTAGAAACACTTTGTATTTACTGCTGGTAGACAAGTCATGACTGATAACTGCTGATAAAGAATTACGTACCAGTGACTGTATCATCATTTCCAAATGTCTTTGTTTTACTTTTATTAATTTTAAATTTTTACAGAATAAATGCACCTGTAAGTTATCCAGTAGAAGTACAAGTCACATAAACACACCAAAGACAACGGTGTGGCAAAACGACAAAAAAAAAAAAAAAAAAACACAAGACAGCAGCAACAAAATATATATATACACACATGGATGTTAATACAAGTGTTGCATTCAAAAACAGCCGTAGCCTGTGAGGTGGTGTTGTTTTCAGCTCCCTCACTACATCTATGGGCTGAAGGCAATCTGATCTTGGGAAGTGCTCATTATCACACAGTATCAGGCCTCAGTCAGAAGGCCCCAGATTGTCTGTGTGACTGACAACTGCATTGTGGTGACTTGAGTTGTTTTGCAAACTACAAGACTACAGCACAACATGAGAAGCAATAATGCAGAAACCCTGAAAGCAGCATCTTAAATTCTACTTTATCCAAAAATCTAATGCTAATACCTTGGATTTTTCAGTTGGTATCATGATTACATGCTGCATATTGGTACATAGGAACTGACATACGGCAAAGCTGTAGAACTGTAACAATATTCCAGTGGGGAATAACAGGTTTGTGAATTTGGCTGAAGGGGAGTCGAGTGTTTCTACAGACGCACACAGCTCCAGTCAGGAGAGATCACAAAGACCCTCCTGCAGCCAGGTTTGAGACAGAAACAAATGAGAAGTAGTTTACCTGGAGAGTCCCACATTAATCTCAGCCAGTGTCTTATCACCTAATGAACATATTAGGTTAATGGTCCAGTGTAATCAGCTGCTGAACGTGTGTGACCTTTAGGAGAAAAACTAACAGCTGGCTCTTCTGAGGTTGTACGACACATTTACAAAGAAGAACCAGCTTTGGCGTGGAATGAGGCTATTGAGGCAGAAGTGATACATCAGCACAACACTCACTTTCCCAAAATGAACGCCAATCTCTCTCATCTGTCAAGTTCTCACATATTCTGCCCTCTCTCACTTCTCCTCAGAGAAATCATTAGATAACGATCAATATTCAGAGAGGCAGGCTGCTCAGGCCAGCCCTCTATTTATAGTCCCTGATGACTGTGTGTGCATACAATAGTGTGCGTGTGTGTGTGTGGGGGGGGGGATACAGCCCAATCACTCCCATCAGCAGCACTGCAACGTCTCCATGGCAACCCCACCTACTGAACAGATGAAGAGAGCACGCAAATCCGGCCACGCTGGAGCAATGGCTGATACCAGACGGAGCGTGAGAGTGCCCGCGATTTACGTCTCGTGCTGCCACGTAGGTGCACCGCTGCGTGCATACGACATTAACGTGGCCGACGGGAAACAGAGTGGGACAAACGTGAAAGTTGTGATGAGATGAAAGAGTAGATGCACTGTAACGATGGTAGAAAGAGTAAGGGAAAAAAGGGGGAGGATTCAGGCGCTGAAGCTGATTCCAGCTCACATGGAGCAGGTGAAAAGAGGGAATAGAAGTGTAGAGTGAGACTGCATCTAAAGGAAGGAAGGAGGGAGGGAAGAGAAGAAGAAAGTGCTGAGAAGCAGAAACGTCCTTGGCTCAGGTTCAGATGGATGAAGAGGAAGACATCATTAGACCAGGGGGAAGTTTACTGCTGAGACAAACAGCTCGCTCTCACCTCCACGTTACATGATCAGCATGAAAACACACACACACTTTCAATCTGTCCACAGAGAGGTGACCTTCAAGGTAGATCTACCTCTCTCTCTTTTTGCTGATTAGCATCAACTTCCCTCTCGTCAGGTTTTTTTCTTTTAAAACACTGAGTGAAACATTTTAATTCCTCACAAGAGCAGAAATGACAAACAAGATACATGGACTCTGAATATCACTGAGATTATTTGGTGATATTCTGCAGAACTGCTGATGATGTGAAAACAGCAATTTAGATACAGTGGTGCTTTTACATGGATATTAAGAGCACAACTTCTTCACAGCATTTAGAGGCTAAAATGTGTAAAAATAATAATGTTCTATATGAGGCATTGACTCTCACTTATCTCCCACTAGATTGTAAAAGTATCAGTATGTTAAAGCTGGACTTTCCAGTAAGAGAAGTAAGAGAAGTCATGCAGATCATCGTAGGGTTACATTTATAAATTTAAAGTGGTCATAATTATTTATTCATTTATCTTTTATTGCCACAACATACTTAAAATTATAAGTCTGGGAAAATTAAACATTTAATTAGTTGTGGAAGTGAAAGTCTCCTTGCCCATAAAAAATAAGACTACCAAATTAAATGTCACCAGGAATGTTGCATTTTCAATACCCACTCATTTCCCCTAATCCCACCCCTCTATCGCCCCAATCTGAGCCACTGTCCGCAAAATAAACCCGCTCTCTATTTTGGGGTTTATCCATTTTTCCCTTTCCAATCACATTCACCACATCTTCTCCAGCTGCCTGTGGTCTGAGCTCAGCTCTCTGCCCGCTGCTATCAGCCCACTCCACTAACGACTCCTAAATGAGGGGGACACGTCATGAGTGAGTGTCTCCCCAAGATTACCCTCATCCCTGACTCGCTGCTTAAATACTTAAAAACCCAGGAGATGAATTCATTGGGAAATACAAAACCATGCTAATCCCTCAACTGATGGAATGACAGAGTGACGAGGAAGAGGAGCCAAATTTCTGCAGACTGTTAACCAGAAAGTTAGACGCAAATCCTGGACATCCGTTCATGTTGGAGACAAAAGCAATAAATCGGGAACTGACTAATGTTACTTTAACAATGGCCTTAAACAATTTCAACAAGAATTCTTTAAAAAATAAAATATATATATAATATTAGTATAGTGTTCCTAATAAAGGGACTGATATGCATGTAGATCATGCTTTGTGATCATTCTTTTGTACTAAAAATGTTACATATGACTATTTCCTGGGTGTCCTTTGTCCAAACACAACTACCACATAGTGCGTTGTCCGTTTGTCTGTCTGGGAGCCACAGACGGACACTGACACCACAGATTGATAATTAACACCTGTCACACACAGCTCGCCCACACATGCACGTCTCCCCGCCGCAGTATGATTGACTGGACACCTCACAACCACAAAGGATCAGCCCACACCAATATGTTCACAGTCGCACACAGATGTTCACACTCTCTGCACTGACACCAGATCTGCACTCATCAGCATAACACTGAACATAACAAGTGATTTCCTCACAGAGCAGATGAGGTAGCTGCTTCATGAAAACACAAAGAGGGAGGAGGGCGGCGTCAGAGCTGACAGACGAACAGCAGAGCTTAAACACACGTCCAACAATAACTGTCAGTTACAAAAATAAAAATGAAAGACTTGAGGACTTAACCTGCTAAAAAGACTAGATTCACACTAAACAACATGCACGATTGTGGAATAATCAAATCCGAAAAAAATGGATACAACTAATACAGTAAAATGCAACAGTCATGGAATAACTGGTTATTGTCATAAACTGAAATCTAGCAGTTATTTAAAGTTACATCTGTGCTTGACCTTCAACATGACAATAAATAAATAAACTACAATCTATCCATCCATCGTTAAGCTGGAGCATTAATTGATTTCTACAAATGTCTTGATTGATCCAAAATCTGAACGAACACACACACACACACACACACACACACACACACAGGGAGGTGAAACTGGGGGCTCACTGTTCAGTATTTGATTGACACATTAAGCTATTTTTAAAATTGCTCATATTAACTTTGTTTGCTCCTTTCCTTCATTAGAGCGACTAAACAGAGGAGGAAGTGAATTAGAACTAATCTCTGGTGATGTCGGGTTTGTTTTTCCAATGTTGATCTTTCTCTCTGGTTCTGATTCTTCCTGCTGATGCCAGAAGATGAACCAGAAGTAAAGCCCAGATTGAGTTGACAGAAGTATGTGGACACCTGAACATCTTCAGAACTGCAGCTTTACCAGCCTGCACTCTTCGGAGTTAAGGTCTTTCCACCAGATTTTTAAAAACCCAGCGGCAGGGTTTTGTTCAGCCACTGATTTCTTTCTTCTCAACATATTAAAGCTCGCATGGTGTCATGAGAGGAAACACTCATCAGTGATCAGTCAGGTACTCACACAGGTCGTCCTGTGAGGCTGGTGTGCACGTGCTGCTGGAAGTCTGGGTACTTGGAGGCCAGGTAGGAGAAGTCAGGTGGTCTGTCTTTGTAGCGGTTCCGAGGATGCATGGACTTATTCAGAGCCATGTTCAGAGCTGAGACAGAAGGACAGAGAGACAGAAAACACCACAGACATGATGTGAGGGTTTGGAACCAAAACTACACAAGAGACACTACAAAACAACTGCTGATTAAAAATGTCACAATGACACTGGATCTAAATACCATTAACATTTCTCATCCATCAACAAGCGTCTGCTGTTGTCAGATCGATGTAGAACGAAACAAATATTTCATTTCTCAAACGTGGAGTAAAAACTAACGGACTCACTGAGCTCGCTCCGTGCAGTAAGCTAACTCCGGAAGCTAACACGTAGCTAACACTACTTCCTGCTTACCTACACAAAGCCTTTGTCTTGTCGTGACGATGCTTTGTTATTATTCTACGGCCGGTGTAAACTTCTCAACACTTTCAAACTGTGCCGAACAATCGCACAACTCACGTTGTCCAAACGTTTCCCCTCTCTGCTCCTCTCTTCCGGGATGACCTCGACGTCAGCGCTCGACGTCGATGCGCAGTGACGTCAGGAAAAAACATTTCAGCTTTTCAACTGAATTTTTGATCAAATTGAATAAAATTACTCACAAAACATCATAATCACTTATTAGATATTATTCATTGTATATTTTGAATGTAAAGTGATTTTTTATTGTTAGAATTTTTATTTTACAAATTAAATTTCAATTGAAAATAAACATATTTACTATTTCCCTTTGAGGCTTTACATTTTTGATAAAGTCACTAGGTTTACATAACAAATGTTACAATTTCACATTTTAAATAATAGATACAAATATATTTTTATTAATGACATTTTGAGAATAAACATCATATATTTCATTATTTAAGTCATCTTACTTTTTACTCTTTTTTTTCTCTGTTGACACAACCTACGATGATCTGTAACTCACAGAATTTAAATTTAATAAAAATGTGTCCAAATGTAATTTTGTTATAAATGCACTGCTCTTCCGTTAACCTGACAGCTCACTACAAATGAGTAGGAGACACAGATGCAGATTTTACTTCTTTTATTATATTGCAAACAATAATGACATCCAGGTATATTGTTGACAGTTTGCTGAGTGAAGAGTGAGACCATAGTGGTGAAAACATCACAAGCTCTGCTGTCAGAGCTTGTTGTGCGGTCTGAAGCCCTCACATGTGGTTCACAGGCAGGTTACAGAGGACAGGTGGACCTGAGGCAGCAGGAAATGACCTCTAGACAGTTATGACCTGTCTGTCTCTTCATACACCACAACCAGAGCAGCACAGGGATTGCTTGGGACCTGCAAATGGCAAAGGGGGATTTTCTTCAACAGGGGGCACACTGGTGTACAAACACCAGCCACTGCTTTTCTATCTACTTTTTCTTACAAAAGAACCAGGACACACATCATCCTGACCTTCAATTAAACACCTTCCTTGAATAAAACCAAAGAAGGGAAGATTTTTTTCCCTATAAATTTACATTTTATGGTCTGGCATGTCATAGCGTGATCCTGAGGAGACAAGCGTCATTTTTTTAAACCAGATTGTTCTGACACGTCTCCATTTTTTTGGCTTCAGCTAGAACATTGAACACACTGGCATCTTCATTAGCCATGTCAAGTAGGACTACAAAAATCAGCTGATTCTCCACTCAGGAGAAAAAGAATGTAGAAAATAAAATAAAACCTTTGTACGGGTCGGGGGCGGAGGAGGGGGCACACATCAAGGGGAGACATCAGTAATATTCCCTGAAAGAGAGGATTTCTCCTTTGGAACATCCTAGTCTGCCACAATCCCATTGCATTTACAGAAGATGGAGGTGTTGAACCTTCATCAGTTTGCATCACACACAACACGACCAGCGTCTCTACGACCAGAGAACAGAGCTGTCTGAACTCATACACACTCTCTGATGTTACAGGAGCATTCTGGGAAAAAAAGTTGGGGGGGAAAAAAGGCTGACCCACTTTCTTACAGAGTTTTAGATGAGAAGATGGATGTTTGCAGCAGGCTATCTTAGCTTAGCATAACTGGAATCAGACTAATAGCCGGACTCTAGCCACTGGATTGATTATTTCCAACTTGATAAAAACATGTCAACAAACCGTTGGCAGAGTGGCTGCAAATGATGCTGCTGCTGCTGCTGGTTGATACAATCTGTTCATCTGATTTTTAACAAACTACTAAATACATGTGTTATCAACACATGCTCTAAATACATTAGTACCAGCGCTAGGGTTAAATAATTGGGAGTGATGAGTCATAAAAACTGGTGTTTTCAGTCCTCTCATTTTACTGACAGTGCCTGAATGCAGCATTAGCCAACACAAGCAGTTGTTGAGTGAATAACCTCTGGTTTGTTAACTCTTGAGGTCCACAAATGTACATTTTCAAAAAATGATTAACAATATTTAATAGTCTTTTCCCCTTTGAAATATAATATTCTCATCCAACTCTCTGCATGAAAATCAAATAAGTTTATTTCCCAAATGTCAAACTACTTTAAATACAGACCTTTTCTCACCTCATTCGATCAAATTGGTCTGTTAATAGCAGAATTTAATCTTTGTGAACGCTCAGTGTTCTGACAGCTCTGCTGCTGGTGCAGGTTTACATGCAGCAGTGCTACATCAACAGGTCACAGTAGGCTCACAGTAGCCACTAGTAGGAGCTTGAGCAGCAGATCACCGCATCCAGTACACACAGGAAGAAGAACACTTGGCAAATAAGCTAAGATCAGTTAAGCAATGGAATTCTTTATTAGCCAAGAACTGAATTGGAATGAAAAGGCTAATCAGAAATTATAGGTTTATGCATTTATCAACATCATTCAATTTTAAAGTCGTCTTTGATCATTATTAAAAAGGACCGAAGACTTAGTGAAAACAGGGATGTGCAAGATTAATGAATCACCGTGCCAGCAACAGTCACAAGCATGATGGTTCACTGTTTTTTCTTCCAGAGAGGAGTGGAATGGTCGTTTTACTGCACGGCCTGGTTTACGCTCATTTTCCAGTCTTTCGTTTTATAGTCACGGCTCCACAAGTCGAACCTTTGAGGAATGCCACTCTAAAGACATGTTTGAGGTTGTCTGTGGGGTTTGTCTGTAATCTAATCCAGGAGGTGCTCCACCTCTTTTCAGCAAGGAGTCCGTCACAATAAAACCGCAACCTCTACATCAGTCCCCTCAAGAAAAAATTGCCTCAACAGAACTCATCAGCTGCTGGCTCTTCCTCACCAATCCTTAATTCCCATCAACTTCATCCCATAGTGTGATAATACAAAACTGCCAAATCTCTCTATAACAAGCTAAATTTACAATTCATATTTTCACAGAAAACTGTTTTTTCAATCAAAACCATTTTTATTACGCAGAACTTAAATTTCACCCCTCAAAAATAAGAGATCTTTGCACATCCCAGATATCAAACCCAGGGGGGCTTACTTTGACTCCTCGCCATGTCTTTGTTAAATCTTTAACGGCCTTGTTTCACATGAGGCTTCTGTTTGTGGCTTTCAGATGCATCATTGTTCGACTGAGCATCTTCTGACTTTACATAATTCCTCAATCTCAACCAGCCTAGTCAGGAGAATAGAAGTGGACAGTGTTTAGTCATTTAAAAGTCTGACATGCAAGGTCACAGGGAAATGTCTGATGGAGGGAGACACACCCAAGGTCTTTATCAAGTGCTAGAGATTAAATAGGTGTAATCCCGTAACTGCTGCTGGGACTCAAGGTGCTCACTAACAGCGAAAGCCAAACAAACATGCTCGTTACATCAGGCTTCTTGTAAAAAACTTGGGTTTTTTCACAAAGCCGCTCAGCAACGCTTCAACTTTTTATACTTTACTGCAGATTCATTAAACGGGATCCTTTATCTAAAGCCTAGCAGTGGTTCATGTGCCAACATGACAAGAGTACAAAGCTGTTTTTAAACCCCCGAGGTCCAACGACAACAGTTTGAAACATTCGTATATACAGCCAATAAAATATTACCTAGTTCCACATGAAGAGAAATGGTATGCACACTTGAGAAGTGACGTTATAAAGCTACAGATTATTTCAATAACAAAGCCCCACAAACAATCGCATCTTATCGCGTCATATATGCTTCTCCTGCCTTATCTCTCGAAAGTTTCACCAAGCTAGGCACCAACAGACTACGACAGTGATGGAGAGAAATAACAGAAAAAAATCCTAAATAAAAAAATAGACAAAAATAAATCTTACACATAAAGACACTGTCATTTCTTAAATTATTGGTTTTTAGTGCCCTACATTTTACACCCAGTCAAAAACATCTGCCTTCGGTTGGTCGGTAAGGCTGCGTGACAGACGGCCAGCCCCGTGTTAAACCTATGGTACTTCTAGACAACGTTATGTAAATTTACAGTATACAATTTTGGATTACCATGCAAGAATACTTTTTTGTGTAACATTTAATAGCTTGATCTACATCCAGGAATAATTTACAAAGAAGGACAAAAGTTATTGGACCAGAGAGCGCAATGGGTAAATAACCATGGGGGGTAAGTGCAGCCGGAGGAGATGAAGATGTGCGGATGAGACTTAATGTTAGATGAGGGGGTGGGGGGAGGTGGGATGAAAGGGATAGGTGGAATGGCAGGAAGGAAGGTAGGATCCAGAGGAACGCCTGGGTAATTAGGGTGGTGGTCCAATCCTCCGAGGTCCAGATCAGCGGCACTCCCACACTTTTAATGTTTGATCTACGCTCCCAGTGACGACGTAGGGAGCAGCCTTGTGGAAATCTGCAGAGGAAACAAAAATGAACATGAGAATGAAGTACGAGCAAGGAAATAAACTCTGCTTGTGCCGAGAATCACTGAAAAATGAATGCAATATGACTGCTGCCAACCCATTTCCACTGCAATAATTCAACAGGCCTCTGACTGGAACTCAAAAGCAGAAGAGTGCAAGTAGGACAGACAAAAATAAAGATACATTTATGTATAATCTATGGACAGGTAGAAGTTTGGCACCATGGCCTTTACGCGACACAGGCAGCTCTTCAGTATCATGACTTGCATGCTGCCATGTGGTTCTGGCCGAATCTACAAAACCACTGTTGAAATGGGTCCAAATATATTTGACACTGTATTTGACAACACTGTACTCGAATGAAAAACAAAACGTGTTCATCACTTCAATAGCTCACAGTGATCTCTTCTTCAAGAGATTTCTCAAGCCTTGATGTCCTGAAAAGCTGCAGATACATGAAGGGGGAGGAGGGAAAATCCTGGAGCGCTCGTCTCCCTCTTACACCCCTGCTGCCAGCAACCCTCAGGACACTCAACACACTGATGCTGGAGAAGATACTGAACCTTTCTCTAAACAAAGACATTTCCTTGCACCTCAAGACACTGGCTGGTCAAACAATAACAAGGATGAAACCTTTGTTTTGGGGGAGTGAAGTGAAGAGCTGCTTACCCAGAGAGGTAACAAAGTGTTCGTGGGCACACAGGGTTTTCATGCAGCGCTTGTTCTTGTAGTCCCAGATCCTTAAGGTCTTGTCGTCTGCACAGGTCACAATGAACTTGCCTCCAGGGTGGAAGGTGATGCCACGCACCCAGTTGTCATGGCCGACCTGTGACACAGACAGATGCTGCTCAAGACGCAAGCTCTAAGCCAATTCATCTCACTTGTGAATAAATATACATACAAACAGAAAAGTCTATTAGCTTTAGATGGTCCTCACCAGTGTCATAAGGCACATGCCAATGCTAACATCCCACATCTTGATGGTTTTGTCTCTGGAGCCAGACAGCAGGAAGGGGCCTGGCTTACCACTCTTCTTGGTCTGGTTGGGCACAAAGAGTGGAGAAAAAAAAACAATAATGATGAAAAATGAATACAACTCCTTTTTCTCTGTGTTTATAGAAGACATTTTATGGTCAAGCTGTGTCTGCGACACTGGATTCACTCATTTAACTGCATCAGTGGAGAGTGTGTTCAAACAGGCTGGCAGGTGCCTCAAGGCAATAACCAGAAAGGTCAAGGAGCTTGTAGCACAACATACTGACCAGCAGAACAGCCCAAATACAACACGTTAGAGTGACTGTGAGTGTATAATGTGATTGACAAATAGTCGAAGAACACATGCAAACATCTGAGAGGCAACAGCTATCTCTTAAGTTCTGGATTGTTCAGTCCATACACCTGGCAGTGATATTTAACGCATTAATGTTGTTGAGTAAATAATGTTAAATACATTGATTTACGTATTTAAATATATTTCAATGTGTTGCACTGCTTACTTTCATTCCCAATTATAGTGTCCACAGAGTGTCTTTTTGTGCACCGAGAAAAGGCAAATAAGACTAAGAATAATCAATCGATTGAAAAAAATGTTTGTTGCAGCTTTACACATGTTAGAACAGGGTAACAGCTGCAAGGGAAATATTGTTTTATCTGATAAATCTACAATTGGACACACAAGGTCACAAGGCATGACGAGGGAGCGTGGGTTGACTTAAGGCCATGCTGATATTCTCTTTTGTGTGCACACACGCGCACCTCATTTGAGTCGGTTTGTTCACATGGCTGTGCGTTGGAGCAGTGACATATAAGACCAACTCACATGGCTACGCATGTAGAGGGAACACGTTCTGCATCATCTGATACTGTGAGAAATCCATGGTAAATGAGCAAACACATCAAATCCCTTGTTTGCCTTAAAGAGGCATAATTATGTCACTGAACAGCAGCATAAGTGACAAATTAAGCATCCACACAGACTCAAAACGTTACTGGTTATGTTCGTTTACATTTTTTTTTGTAAATTTCAATCGCTCATTTTCAAGTTAATAATATTTTGGATTTTTTTCCCCATTTTTGATGCATGGTTGATAATTTGATGTGTACATTGGACTCTTTTGGCTGTCTGGTTTGGATCATTACCCACACTGCTTATACTGGTCCACTGTGATTTCAGATACCAAACACAAGCTGAGTTGACCTATGAGCTACTGGTTCAATCCAATCAAAAAGTCCTCACGTTGAACTCTACAGTGCAATCCTTCTGAAACCCTCCAGACCTGAATCAAATGTAGTGAAATTAGCAAAGGTCTGAGCGGTTCTTACCTCAGAGCCTGTGGCTTCTTGGATGGTGGGGTGGGCGCTCTCTGGTGCCCAGGAGATGCACTCCACCACATGTTCATGCTCCCGCAGTTCAGCCTTGCAGTCTTTCGAAGCCACAACCCAAACGCGCACTGTCTGGTCATTTGAACAGCTGGCGATCAGTGTGCCATCCTGGTTCGGCCTCACCATACGGACCCACTCTCTGTGGCCTGTGAAGGTCTTCACACAGTATCTAACAAGCATATAATAATAACAGTTCATCAAGTTGTCAGAGTAGATGTAATTCATGAGACTCAACATAAACCTTAAGAAAAAAAAAGTGGTTTGTAAGGATGGTTAAAGGGTGTTTTTAGATTCTGCGTACCCAGTTGCCACCTCCCACATTTTTATGGTTTTGTCCCTCGAGGCAGAAACAATGTGATCTCCATTGGGCATGATGGCTACAGATGAAACATTGTGGTCATGTCCTGAAAAACAGAGAAGACAAAATTAAGATCTTAGACCATTATAAACACTGAGCAACACAAGCCAACGCAACATTTCAAGATAGACTAGAGGTAATTTTACAGTTTCAGACAGAAACACTTGATCTCTTTAGTCTCTTTATCTAAAAATCATACTCAAAATTCAGCATCACTTCTTCGTAACATATATTTGGCCACCAACAGCTCCAAAAATGATGGGGTTGGATGTAATTAGCCAATTAAATGACAATTTAGGCAGCCAATTTACTGAGGTCTATGCTGTTCCACGGAGAATAAGAGATGGTTAATTACTAGGCACCAGGCCATATTTAAGCTGCTAAACAGAAGAAGACAACAGTAAGTATACGCTAAAAGGCCAGCTTAACTGTGTGTGTGTGTGTGTGTGTGTGTGTGTGTGTGTACATATGCCATCAAGCTATAATAATGGGTGGCAGTGCCACAATAAAGTGCTATCTGGTGCTGAAGAGGATAATTAAACTGCTGTCCAAATCTGCACTAATCTACTTCACAAGTTGGCCCAGTTGATTTTTTCAGATGCAAAAACACGGGAGTAAATAAAAAACAAGAAAAGGCTGAGTAGATGAATTATAAGTGAATTGAGATGAGGTACAGAGAAGGATGGAGCGGAAATGGTTTTTCCCTCCATCAACTCCAGCTAGAATTAGAATCTTTTGATTATTATTAGGGTGCAGTGAATTGGAGCCGATTGAGGCTTATAGGCAGAATCAAATGTGATAATGAACAGTATTTCTACCACCTGAGCCCTGTGTAAACACACATGCTACATTTTGACAGCAATGACATGGAAAACATAACAGAACATGTCCATGATGACAAGAAATAAAAGTCCCCATCATTTGAATTTATTGAAAAAATGAATGGTTTTATCTTACCGTGCATGGTCCTGATGCATTCAAAGCCTTGAAAATCCCACAGCTTGATAGTCATGTCAGCAGAGCAGGATGCTAGCAGTTTTCCTGTCAGGTCAAAAGAGATGTCCTGCACTGAATCTGTGTGCCCTTTCAGTGTGCGTTCAAAGTCTCCTGTTTCATAGTCCCAAACCTGGAGAAGAGAAAACATTAAAGTATTATCTTAAGAGGAACTGATCAGTTTTACAGTAACCACAGTCTGTATGTCACTCAGACACTTGAGTGTGCTGTTCATTTTTTAATGAAGCCTTTTCCAGAACCCAGCAAAGCCCAGAGTGTCAGATCATCTGTGACTCGAAGTCAGATCATGTCTCAGCTGAGCAACCCTGAAGCCAAAACAAACTGAGGAGACAGAAGCAGGCTGCTCAGGGAAGAAGTCCCATTTCAGTGCTCACATTGAATTTTTACAAACACTGCCATTACCTTTGTCTTCAGAGCTCACATAGGCCTCACAGACTCTTTTTACATATTGAATTAGGGAATCCATGATGCATTACTGTTGCTAATGGCACTTATGGCAGGGATGCATGTTCCAAGATGCCAATTAGGGTTATAGTTAGAACTGATAAAAGCCAAGCGACAGTTCATTATGCTGAGTACAGTGAAGCCAGTTGGCGTAAAGACAAAAATGGAGTGAACTGTAATAATTCTGATTTATAGCCTGAGAAAGCTATTGCATTTCTCTGGCTTTCAGGCAGAAGGTTTCTCATGGAGGGATAAACCCTCCGTGGTCCATCTCGAGGGGTGGGATATTTTGAACAGACGGTAACATGAGAATGCCACCCTCTCCTCCCTCCCCCTGGTCCTTCTGCCTGCCCCCCAAGGAAGCTACAGACAGTGCAGATGGTGATGTGTGTGTACAGGGATTTATCCAAGAAAAGATCAACGCAGTTTAAGTGTTCTGAGCTACACCTGGTCAGTTTGAACTAACAGTGCACAATAGCAGCATCTAAACCACCCATCATCATTTAACTACCTGTATCTCAATGCTTCAACACTGATGATTCTCTTGGATGCCTTGGATTGTGGTCATTCAATGGCCAGAAGTAATAAGAATACTTCCTTTTTATGTCCTATTGCCTGGCAAAGTCTATCGCTACGGATACAACTAACAGTTATTTTCTTTATTGATAAATCGGACAAATCATTTCGCAAATATTTACTCTATTAAAAATAGTGAAATGTCATTCATACTTTACTTAAAGTTGTTTTATTGAAATTCAATAAAATGTCATATGACAAAGAAACATTTGAGAAGTTAGGACCAGAAAACGTTTGGCATTTTTGCTTAGAAAATATCTAAAAACGATTAATGTATAATCAAATGTTAAATGGATATATTTTACGATGATTGACTGGCCGTATAATAAATCAACCATATTAGCTCTTAACTATTCGCTGGTGCAGCTTCTGTGACAGGGTGAATGTGTCAATTGCCACTGATTGTTTAGGGCAAACAAAGCAACCTTTCCTATCAATAAAAAAAAGGGTCGGCATGAACATAAAGTCAGGCTGACTGAAAGACATGAAATTACGTTTAGTCTGAGTGTCAGGCCCTGGCATGAGGTGGAAAGCAGATAAGCTTCTAAGTCTGTGCTTTTCAGCATAAAGAGCATAAGGTCACTCCCCGGTTAAAAATTTAACAGAGCTGCTCAGGAGGAGAAAAAGTAGGACACAGGGGGAGTTAGACCAGGCCACAGAGAGACCAGCCAGCTAGGAGCTAGGTGGAAGAAAGCAGGGCTGAATTATACATTTGGGCCCATGCCTGCCTCCTCCTGCTGCTGAGGGATGGATGTCTGTGATGGTAGGTAGTCATGGTGGGGCAGCTGAAGCTTTGAGTGGAAGATTAATGAGGCGGTGTGATGGGTGGGGTGCAGAGGGAGGAGGGGAGGTGTGAGGTTGGAAGAGAAGGAAGATGGCAAAACGTAGAGAGGAATCCCTGCTGTGTGGGTGTAGCAGAGGAGGAGATGAACAAGTGTCTCCTATTGTCTCATGAATAATATATGGAGAACAAACAGCTCAGCAGAGTATTGGCATTGTACAGCAAGGCAAGGGAGGGCCGCCGCCACAAATATAGCCCTGAGACAGACCATGGAGTTTAAATCTAGGGAAACAGAGATAACAGAGATATGTTTGTGTAGATGAGGGCGTGTCTGGAAGAGTAAGCTGAGCAGCACGTGTGCTTTCTGTGTGAACTGTGAGTGGAAGACTGAATAATAGAATTTTACAAATACTATTCAAAAATTGTCTCTCAGCAAATTAGGTTAAGTTATTTAAAGATATTATTTTTTTAAATCCAGAATGTAAACACTCAAGATATACTGTACAATATACATTAGTGATAATGTCATATGACAAAGTGTAGTACACAAACCTGCCTACCACACATTTCATCAACATCTATTTTATGTTCTCACCAGTTAAACGCTTTACTTAATGAATACATTAATTCTACAACCAGCTCTGCAACACATGACAGCATCTGTGACCTCAGCTTGATACCTATATTATTTTTATTACCATTAATGTCTGACTTCAAATCTGCTGACAGTATTGATTTGAGTATAAATTAGTCTGAAGCAAAAACAGAAAAAAGTATAATATCATACCCATTCCTTAATCACTACCAAACACAATTTAATTTGTTTATAATGATGCTTTCAATGATAAATACATGTGTACAGCGAATAAAATCCTAAAACCCCAAAAAAACCATAATGCTTTTTATCCCTGGATAGATGAAAGGTTTGAAGCTCATCACAGAGGGTTATCCTCATTTCCATTTTCTACTGAGGCTTTGGAATCTCTTGAAGTGTACATAAAGTACACACAGTACATGGTTATGAAATAAACAAACAATAACAGACACAGAACTGTTCAGGGTTATCCAATCATGTGAAAAAGAGAACAGTCCTGCAGGTTTTATTTCTGACTACACCAGTGATTGCACTTATTTGCATTTCTTCAATCCCAGAGGCAAAACTTCTGTGTAATCACATATGGCAGCTTTTATTAAAAAAAACCTGCTCTAGGCAGCCAATATCATTTAAGACGCAATCTAAATAAAACAATAAATTGTCATTGTCAAACCAGAACTGACCTTTATTGTAGCGTCCTCAGAAGCCGACACCATGACACTGAAGACTGGGTGGAAGATGACGCGGGTGACCGGACTGCGGTGCCCACTCAGAGCATACCTTTCTGGGGGGCGTGGGATCCACTCTTTGGGGTCACGCTTCTGACTAACAGGTCCTCCGAGGGTGATCTCCTCTTTAGCTTCATTCAGTTTGGATTCAAGCTCCATCACCTGTCCAAAGCCAATGGTATGTGTTAACAGCGTAGGGGCATAAAAATATGATGAATAACATTTAACACGTGTTGTACCAAGAAGGAAATAAAGGGGTTAAGTTTGCTTGTATCTGTTAATGTGTACTAATTTGTCGAATGTTAATGTATTCCTTGGTACACTTCCTAGTGGATCCAGCAGTAATGTCGTGAACCATTCACAAGACTAATTCCCTCAACCATCCTTTGAGGAGGAAAAGGACCCACAAACCTTCTTTTGTAATCTGATGACTGAGGTCCATTTTTTTTCCAAAAGGCCAGCATACTTCTTATCCAACTCTTCATTCTGTGGAGAAAAGAGTGGTGGGTTGTTAAAAAAATGGAATATCAGCAAACATGCAAAGAAAGCCAATCAATGTTGTGGGCTCAGCATAATCTGCGAGACCCGTGGGAGGGGGGCCAGCTGGGGTGGCATGTTGAAGTCTTTGGTTATAGTAAGAATGCACAGGGAATTATTTACACACCCGTCACAAGCCAACCCTGACTACCAGACACCGCCAACCTAGTGTAGGGGACACACACACACACAAACGTATATACACACCCTAGTCCTAATCCCTCTCACACAGGCTAATCTTCTGCAGACAAGGAAGACTTAGGCAGTTTACAGCTACACACAGTACCAGAGGCAGAAGTGGAAGTTAACTTGTGGCAGTCCTGGCAGACAGAAGCCCACAGGATAATACCCCAAGCTGGCTGCTAACTTTTACGTAACAGACCTCATGGCACTCACAGATTTAATCTTACTGCCAAGAAACAAACAAAACAATGTGGAGGGAAGTCTACTCAGTCACTACATACTAACTGAAATTCATGCTGAGGCTTCAGCTAATAATTATTGATTGAATGATTATCAATTCAGCTATCAATTATTTTCTTCATTTATTAACCGGTGGTATAAAGAAGGTAAGAAATTAGTTAAATTTCAATAATCACCATTTCCCAAAGCCTGCAGTGACACACTCAAATTGCTTTTTTTTGAAGAACAATCTAATATTAAACGTGGAGCTGCAATGCTTAGATGACTTATAAATTATTTGATGATTACTTGAAAAAAAAGGTCAAGTAATGGATTTTGAAAATCAATCGTTAGCAAAAATACAGAATCTATCACAGTTCTCAGCTGTGCAAATTGGAAAATTTCCTGGACGTATCACTGTTTCAGAACTGTAACGCCCCCTATCCACAAAGATTATTGATATTTTCATTATTGAAGTTGTTTGAATATTATTATCATGATATCATCATCACGATACACATGAACAACAAATGAGGAATAAGATGGTGATTACAATGGGCACAAGTGATATAAATACATTTATAAAATATGTAAATGAGTGTTTAGTGTTTCTCCTCCTGGAACAGCTTTAAGATAAAAAATGAAAATGACACTTTCTCTAGATATGATTAAATGGTAAAAACACTAAAACTATGTGAAATTTCACTTTATTCTGCTAAAGATATAACCAATGTAATCGCTATGATGGTACCATGTGTTTGCCCATGCTTTGAGGCTATTACTAACTATGAAAGCATCAAAAATCCACATTGACAGACAGCCATGAGTGTCAGTGAGGGAGAAAATTAGTGTTTTCACAACTAGCTCAACCAGGACGCCTATAAACAACAAGAGGTGATTCCTTAGACTATAACATGAGGTGTATCAAAAGACAAAGACATGAACTGAGGCAAATGGAGAAAAAAGAGAATGGGAAACCCAGTTTGAACAAGTCTGCCGTCATCTAATCTACCATCTGCCTGGACACTATGCCCATTACACCAACACACACAGACGGACAGACACACAAGACAAGGACACACAAAATGGCAAGTGCCAGACTTTACTGCAGCCTGCCAGCCTATTGGCAGTGTTAAATAAATCTGTGTGTGCAAGCAGGTATATATGTTTTCTTCCACTGGGCAATATAAAACTACAGCATGCCTTCTATTAATTATTCTGATTGAAATCCTTCAAGTACACAGAGTGAATAAAGACATTGAGGAGAGGGGGGTTGGGTGTAACATGAAGGCGCTGCAGAGAGGGAGGGTAGAAAAGGAGATTTTCATTCACAATTTGGCTCTGTAATAGGGTATATCAAGTTAGAAAATAGAATGATTAAGAGGTGTAAGTGCAGACTTCCATCTTAAAGGGTGATGGCAGCTATTCACATCTATATTGGATGAACAGTAAGAGAATCAGTTTTTTCTCAAGTGATTCAGCCATATGTTTATAATTGAGGACAGCTAGTTGGGGTGATGTACACAAGTACACGTATTAAGAGGTGTTTCCATTTTTTTTGTCTATTTACATGTGGGAAGTAGAATATGAGGAACATTTCTCAGTAAAATAATAATAAAGTGGTCACTGAGGTAAACTCATTGACCACTTTATTAGGTACATCTATACCTAATAAAGTGTATCTTAACCATATTCAAATACAGCTAAGTGTAATTTCATCAGAAAGCAAAGATAAGCAGGGAAAAAGGAACACAGCTTAAAGCTTAATGATACACACCACCATAATTGGGGGCAGGTGCTCCCAGTCACACTTGTAAACATATTGACTGAAATGAGAAATTCAGTGAAAATCAAGGCATATTGTTGGTATAAATTGGTCTGATTGACTGTGAGGATGTACGTGTCCACCATTAAGCTACTTACATTATCTAATTCCGCCTCCTTCTTGAAAGTGGAATATGCCTCTTCATATCCATTGGAACGTAGATAATCGGCTATCGCTCGATTTCTGAAACAGACAAAGGGAACCTGTAATTAGTTCTCCTGATTAGCAGACGTGATAGTTGTTTAACTGGCATAAGAGAAACAAGGTGAAAACTGAAGTTGTATTCACTGCTGTGAGACAAAGACAAAAATTGGCATGTTCAGGAAACGTATCAGACAAAGATGTAATTTTAACATGTTCATCACACATTCAGACAGATTTAACGCTTCCAAGTCATAATAAAAATGCTCTGCATGCACAAAAACTGTCTTACACAAAACACTACCCGTAACATTCACAGTCTGCTGCTCACACACACATATTTGACACAAATTGAGAAGACATCCGTCTGGCTTCAATAATGAGATCTTGTTGCTGTGGGCAAATAATAGGAAGGGATGACTCCCTATGGTGTAGATATGGGGAAATGAGTCATTGTACATGCTACCATCACCTACATACACACAGACAGAGACATCCTTGAGAAGCAGGGTTACTGGCTACTGATGCTTCAGTTCATCTCCTTCTCAGGCATACGTTTGTCACTCAACCTTTCAGAAAGCCAACACTAATGATTGTGGGGACGGCAGCAGTGTTGTGTCACTGTCCTTATTCTTTCAATTTCTTCAGAGAGATGTGTAGATAGGACAGACAATAGACCAGTCAGAGCTGAAGGCAAGAACAGAGGAGGACACCTTCACTCTTCCTGTTTTGTCTCCTGATTTTTCCACTAGAAAAACTCACTAATTACAATACACAGCAAACAAAAACATTATCTCACAGTTGAACTTAATTTGAATAAGCACCTGGCAGTAAAGTATTTATTTTTTAAACAACACCTCTGAACACTTCTTTTCTTTAAGACCTTCAGTTTTCTCTACTGAATATCAGACTCTATAATAATTGACTTAAAAATACAAAAACATGACTAGAAGAACACATAAACAGACACTGAATTCATGAATGTCTGATAAAAATGCAATTTTCCTCTAATAGTAATACAATATTTCCCTGATTCCAGTCTTCCTGTGTGTGTGCACAGCGATCCCCACCATTAATGCCAGGAGACGCTAGACAAGCTGTCAGGCAGCAGTGCTTTGAGGTGCCAATATGAAGGGGGTGGGGGGTACAATCTGTCAGCCCAGCCTGTGCCCCCCGTGCCCTTTTGGTCAGTGTTGAGCACTGACACCCCCGTCTCCGTTTGCCCACCTGAATCCCTGTGACAACAAAAGCAGACCTTATTACTGCTCAAGGTTAGAAAGAGGTTATCTGCTTCTCTGACAGCAGGCCTGCTTGACATCTACAAAACTGGTGGGAGGGCTGAGGTGGGCTAGCCTGTCTGAAACAAATGAGGCAGAAGGGAAGCTGAGGAAGTTTGATGTGGTGTGGGTGTGTCAGTAGATCTGCATGACCAGGTGTCTGTTAACCAAACCCAATGTCAACAACTTTTGATCCTGAAGTAGCTGTGGTCTATAGTGGAGACACTGTACTGTATTCACACTTTTTGTGGCCACTGTTCGACATTTACCACCTCATTCACGTTACTGGGTTCTCGTCTCCGCCTCCCAGTCTGTCTGTCTGTTTGTGAGTGAGTTGCAGCAGGGCTGGCTCTGTGTGTGCAAGTGTAAACTCTGCTTCGCTCCCTGACTCAAGAGAGAGGAGATGAGAGACAGAACTTTACATATTTTAAGTCGAGCGCAGTTTTTTTTTTTTTGTATTTATGAATTGCTTTGCGGGCGGGATGAAACAACCTTGCAGGCCTCCACCCCTGGACAAAATGATTTATCCTACCCATAACTGAAATAAAACCATTTTAGTAGCTTTGTTAATAATGGAAAATAACCACAAAGCAATCAAACTCAATCAAACAGGGGCCAAAATTCATATAACTCAAAATGCACAATGTGCACTCAAAAGGGTAGTCTTCAATATCAACACAGAGGATCCACCACTCCCACTTTACCCTGAATGTGGAAGGGTAAGGCAGTTTTCAATACGTGGAGCCCTCAAAGACTGCGAGGAAAGGAGAGGAAAACAGTGGAAAAGAGGGAGATGTGTATCAATGTCGACAGAGAGAGAGCAAACGGGCTGGTTTCCATGGTTACCAGTAGCCCAAAGCTAGATGATGTGATGGGGAGATAGTGAGAAAGAGGGCAGGGTGAATACATGGACAGGGAGGACAGAGAGAAGAGAGGTAAACTCAGTCATCTTCAATGCTTCTGCTTCACTGAAAATCATACTCATGTTATGATGTGCAAGTTATCTTGTAGGTGGGCCTCACATGGGTTAGATCAGTGCTGTGGTTGGTCAGATCTCTACAATAATCCCTCGAAGTAGTGACAGAGGATGTTGAGAGGATGGATGTATGTATGACCTCATCATTCTGAGAAGAGAGGTGAGTCACACATCCAACATGTCTCCCACTGGACTCACTTCCTGCCAGTTCCTACGCTATGATCATATACTTCATATACTACATCATTGTGGAGATGAGTAACACTGAGCATCCACCCACTATCAGATTTCCCTACTTTTTGTGTAAATGATGAAATGTGACCAGATTTAATGTTTATGTTTATTAATGTTATTTTTGGTAAAAGTACTGATTAACATTTTTTTTTCACTTTTTTAGATTATCATAGAAAATGTGGGAATAATAACCTCACAAAGCAGTAATGTCCAGCATCTTTAGAAACAAACAACAAAACAATGCATGTCATAGCGAAATGTATGTTTGCCCAGGTCTGAATTTGCAAGGTTCATATATATACGTAATTTCCCCCCAAAAATAGATCAATGAACCAACGGGGCACAGACATCACTAAGCCAGTAAACACTCCTATTAAAGCACAGATTATGATACTTTTAACTGAGGACACGTTAGCCAAACAGCACAGACAGCGCAGGAATAAAGCACACAGTACTACTGCACTCCCATCATTAACAAACAAACGCTACACTATCTAATTAATCTGAGCTGAAGAGCAATTTTGCTTGTCTGACCGGGCTGCTGACCTGCACCATATATTTGTCAATTGGTAAAAACCTTAGAGGAGTATTTTAAAGAGCTGACAATGTATAGACCTGTTTAATCTTTCAATACAGCTGATGAATGTTTAATAGAAAGTAGCTTATGTGTAAAGTCTGAAAGATCCCAAAGCACATATACAATTCACCTTCCTGTACATCATTTCAGCACATGTCAGTATAAGCATGCATCACTGTCAACTGTTTTTTGTGTGCAGGTCACACCCTTAGACATGTTGCATTTGAAAACAAGTGTACTGTAAGGCTTAAGATTTCCTGCTGGCCCCGCCTGTCCTACAAAAGCTTACAAAGGCTACACCGGAGGTTGTTCTCTAAAATGATAATCACAGAGCAAACACCAGAGGACGACAGGCCAGTGCTGTGTGGTTATGTAACCACCTTCTCTGCTGAGTATATGTACTCATGGCAATGCTGCTGAAGAAAAATACTGTTTTCAGAGTTTCCCAAGTGAAAGAAACTACATCTAATTTCATGTTCCTTTATGCTGACCCTCAAATAAAGACTGTGCAAAAATGGCAAAGTGTGGAATGCCATTTCAGGACTAAAACAGTTAACAGACATGCAGCTTTACACAGATATTTTTTCATGCTTCATTTGTGAACAAAAGAAAAACTCACATGTCAGTCTTTCAGGTCTCCATCTCAAGAGCTAAAAAGCCAGGAGGTCTTTTTTAGTAATGTACAAACAAATAAAAAAACAAAAGCTCTTAGCCAATGCACACATTTTTGGGGGAATTGATGAAAAGCCTCAAAAACCATAGGAGCATTTTTTCCCCCCAGCTTGACAACTGAAAGAACAACAAGATCTCGGTACTACAACTCAGTCCAACAAAGCAACCGATTAATTAGACCAGAGAATCTAACAGGTACAACATGCTTCAACTTGCATATCCAGGATGGTCAAGTTATTGCAAACAAACTGTTTTTTACATTGCACAGAAAACATAACAAAAGGTTTAATCTGAAAATAACAAGGTATTCAGTCTGTTCATCTTATTTCTCCATCTGAACAGCTGAGTACTAAACAGCTGATAAAGTCTGAAGGAGAACTTGTTTCCAAAGACATTCCACAAAATCATATGACAGGATTGCATAATTGGCCGGCTTCAGCTGCATCTCAGTGAAAAGTTTAACCAATTCACTATTTATTTTTCTTGACTGATGAGGAGCCCCAGGCCTTGATTAGTGAGACATCAAGCTTGACACCTGAAGGCAATGACCACTCATTATAACCATATCATTAATCACAATCATTTAAAAGAGAAAATCTGGTTTATCTATGGAAGATTCTGCTCTGTACTTGATTCCCAACTTTCATGTATCACAAAGCCTCTTTCAATGTGAAACAGGTAGGCTGTGGAAGAAAAAAAGTCTCTGTTTCCACATGAATTAAGAGCGCTGCAGTAGGGATCATCTCTTAATCCCAAAGAAACCTTTAAAGAGGGAATCTTCCTCTATCCGAGATCCACAGGAGAGAAGAATCCATTCACTGGCAGGCTATTCACCTACTATTCCTCATTATGCCCATGTGTGCACATGCAGCAGGAATTACTCTTCAAAAATCAGCATGGGGCTTAAAAACAGCTGTCTTGTCTATACACCAACATGTCCAATGTTCATGTAATTTAAACTTATAAAAACAAAGGATAACAGAGAGACAGGGCACAGATGTGAGACTAGACTTCCTATCACACATGCAGACAGGATTTTATTTTTAATCATTTTTCCTGAGGTGGTAATCTTTTTAAATTTCTCTGGTAGCAGTACTATTTATTGTGGACAGTGCCACACATGAGAAGGACTACTTTTTGCTGCGATGGATTTGAGAGATTTTATCATCGTGATGAAACATACAATGACAGAAAACTGATGATCTCAAACTGCACAACAGAAAATTATTATCAATGTATTTATCTTTTCAGTTATTTCAAAAGAGAGGATTTGCAGCCCCTTTACATCTTCGGCATGCATGCATAATTGTGAACTGAATATATTGGCTTTTTGGGCTTTTTTTGTAATTGTAAACTTAAAACATGCACATTTTTGGTTTTAAACATCTAGTAGGCTAATCATCTTCCCAAAGCCAGGTTAATCTTTTATAAGAATGGAGAATGATTGGTATGGGATGATGAGTCCAGGACTCACTCTGTAACAATGCCAGTCCATCTGTGTTAGTCCCAAGGCAAAATCAGATCTGTATTGCCCATAGACCCCCTGCAGTTGCACCCAGCTAAGTTTAGTACACTGAGCGCAAATGCAGAGATTCTGGGACAAAAACGTGCAATAAAATGTAGTGTCAACCGATAAATTATATTTTAATCAATCACATTGTGAACATGTACATAAACACTGAACAACAAAGGTAAAAAGAGGACCAGTGAGAAGTGACGTTTTACTCTAGGTCACAATAACTGTGCGTGTAGCCCTTGAAATGTAATCAGAACCATAGTAAAAACTCAGTGTGAGTCCTTTATCAAACCAACTGTTCAACAAGCTTTTAACACATAGAGAAGCAATGTTTTCAAGCCTCCTCCTCTCTAGCAATGTCACCTGTAGACAATGAATCCACATCATGAGAGGGAGGACGACAGAGGAGATGACTGATAGCGACTGTCTGTGTCCTTTTTTCAAATTCACTGTGTTTTAATGTGATGATATTATTAAGTTTATTGACATTTTAACTCTGGTATGAATATTATTTTTGCTGCTTAAGAGACTATTTGTTTTTGTTCCTTTGATCCTGTTCAAATTTTTATTAGTATTCAAAATAACAAGAACTAATACAAATATCAATAAAGACCTGGATACGGTGTTATTGATAAGATAAGTATCAGTCTGCACCCTGATGAGAAAAACCACACCGTCTCATAATTGGAAACTTAATAAGCCCTCCAGAAACACGAGACAAACCCTGAATGCAACCCCCACCCCTGAGAAGACATCAGTCACAGCCAACCACTACAGTGCTACTACAGATGTAACCACTTGAAATAGTGCATCTATAAACTCAGTCAGAATCAATGCAACCAGTGAAAATAGTCAAAAAGACGCTTTGGCCTTTAATCCACAAATGTGTCCCTCAAGATTTAAACTGATGACTCAATCATAGCTGCAAAAAGTTATGTTGAACGCCAACTGATATTTAAAGAAACTAAATCAAGATCAAGAAGTAATGATATACATCATTATCTGGACAGGACATTACTGAATCCTCCTTCTGGTATGAGAATTTATTCCAAGTCTGACTCAGCCTGACATGTAACCATGATAATAGTCTCACTTTATAGCCTTGTGTAAATAACTAAAAACAATCAGCTTTCAATTTGTTGTGGACAAATACATTGTTTTTCAAGCATTAGCCTAAAAGTGTATCAGCAGCTACTGCTTTGCATTCATTAATTTCCTTGGACCAAGTTTCAGTTTCTCCGTTGTTCATCATAACCAATTTTTAAAGAATTTCTATTTGGATTGCTGGGAAATATAAAAAACTCAGTAGAACAACATGACATTACAAATGAAGCTGAAGTTCGAGCTTTACATAATTCAGATTATTTGAATGGGAAGGAATACTGTAAGACTAGTAAATAAATACACTAAACATGACATCTGTTCTGTGTCTAGGACACTGAGAATAAAAAGCTGGCAAATTCACAGATGCTCTTAACCACTCTAACCTCCTCTTGTCATAGGTTTGACTGAGGAATTCAAACAGTTTTCATTAAAGCTTGTTTAAGTCACCTTTATGTCCTCTGAATGGCAGAGGTCTCGACATTTAATCTCTTGATCCATCACATTCACAGCCAGGGGGTGATGGAAAAAGGACAAAATCACATGAACAAGCTTGTAGCCTGAGACATGGAGGAGGCTGAGGGGATTTTCTTTGTAAAGCAAAGATAATGTTCAAAAGCAAAGACCAATCTGCACACGGCTGCCTCCAGGTCTTTCAGGGGGAGCTGATAGTTTGTGCTCTGTGTCTATTTATAATGCACACCGGCGGGAACGAGTCCCCTGACCCAGGAGAGAAACACAAATGAGCTTTTCATTCGCTATGTACATAAAAATAGAGTTGTTATGATGATGCTGTAACAACTACAGCATCTGACTGTGGTGCTGACAAAACAGCATCGGTTTAGGGGGCAAGCATTAATTCCCTTTTCAGACAATAACAAAAA